GATCTGGAAAAACTCAAAAGAAGTATTCAGGGAGGAGAGTTGAATAACATCAAACATTTGATGAGAACAGAGAATGGTCAGAGGATGGAGAGTAAATCCGTCATGGTTGGATGTTTGAGTTTCCCAGTCAGAGCGTACGTTCCGCCACCATTAAGGTGCTTCAAATGTCAGAGGTATGGTCACATTGCTGCAGCTTGCAAAGGGAAACTGAGGTGCCCTAAATGTGGTGGAGAACATACAGTAAATATGATAAATGCGAGGATAATGTGCAAGAGAAATGTTGCAACTGTGGAGGCCAACATAGAGTAACATACGGAGGTTGTGGAGTAAGGAAAAGAGCGGTGGAAGTTCAACAGATTAAATCAATCAGTAATGTGAGCTATGCAGAAACAGTGAAGGGAGCTCAAAAGGGAAATGGTGTCCCACAAATGCTAAAAGCAGCTGATGAAATGAGTCAAGGAGAGGTGAGTGAGACAAGACTGACAGCTGGCAAACTTGTCTTATTCATGGCTTATGTTATCAATTGCACAGATCAGGTGAAACACAAATCAGAGAAAATAAAAATAATTATAAGAGGAGCAGAAAATGTTCTTGCATTAAAAGATAATTCATTGGGAACATATAACTAGAATATCAGGTAAAGCAGGAAGATCAACTGACAGAATGCCAGAAGTCTTTTAGCAAGTGTGCAAGAGTTCAAAGGACTTATTGAAGGACTAAATAAGAAGCCAGATTTATGTGTATAAGAAACATGGTTGAAGTCCATATAGGATTTTAGTATTAAAGGTTATGTTGGTGTAAGGAGGGATGGAAATGAGGGGAATTGAGGAGGACGTGTTACGTAGAAGAAATACTGTATAGATTAGTACCATCGACATATAAATATTGGACAATGGGTTTCCATAGACTCCAATAACACGTTTTGGAAGAGAAATGGGAGGTGGCCACCACCGCCATTTTGACCGTGTCACAGGTTCCGTCAAGCTCAGACGATTCCACAAAAGGGAAGAGAGGTGGAGCTGAGGGTGGGGCTGTAAGGCTGGGATCAACTGACGAAACCCGGTCGAACTAGCTACAAGCTAGCCTGAAGCTAACCCAGTGTTGGGAGTAACGACGTTTAAGTATAACAGCGTCCGGTCAAATGTTTGGATGGATTAGAAATTTTTTGTTAGATAGAAATATTCAAGTCAAAATTGGGAAAAGTTAGTCAGAAAAATATTTTATTGAGAACGGCACTCCTCAGGGGAGTATAGTGAGCCCTCTATTGTTCTCAATAATGATAAATGATGTATTTAAATCAACCCAGTAACAGCTACAGGTGTAAATGGGAGAGATGCCTTTGAAGTTAAGAAGAACTCAACTTATAAGTATGTAGTGGGCTAGCCTGAAGGGAAGTAATATGTCTCATCCAGTCCATCATGTATTAAAACTGTGCTGGGAAAAAGAAGAGAGGGACACAAAAAATGTTGGATGGAGAATGGAGGAAAAACTTGAAGACTTATGCTGTGGTATTTACAGTTTGAAGAAGAAGAAGGTTTCATTAGGCGTAATGACCATCTGGTGCGGCAGGTGGCACTATGCTACTTCGAAGGCAGCCGTAAAGCACCGCCGAAGAAGAAGGCTCGCTTGAAACATGGGGTTGTCCTGTAGCAGATAGTTTATGGTGTCTTCGGTGAAACATGTCAGTGTTTCATGATGAGGTGGAGATCGAGGACTTTGAGTTAGACGAGGAGACCGACACGTATTACTTCCCGTGTCCCTGCGGAGACCGCTTCAGCATAACCAAAGTGAGCTCACTGGCAGCTAACGGCTAACAGCTAGCTGCTGCACACAACACTAGAACCTGTCTAACCCGAACCAGCTGAAACGTTTTGCGGGATTATGTTACAACCCATTTGTTTTTATGTGCTTAAACATGATTGATAGTGAGTTTTGTCTTTATATGTAAAAAAAAATCAATGTTTAAATTGTTGCTCGGCTGGAATTTCAGACCAGATGATCGTTGAGTCCGGTTGGAGGTTTGTAGTTTTGGGCAGAGCAGAACCATGAGTGGCGTGAGTCTGAACCTGTGTGTGTTTAAGGAGGACCTGGAGAACGGGGAGGAGGTGGCCATGTGTCCCAGCTGTTCCCTCATCATTAAAGTCATCTATGATAAGGTAGCTAACATCCCAACACCACCAAGCTGGTTTGGTACCAGAGCCTGACCCAGAACCGGTTCTTTGGCTTTCCAGCACCAAAGCGCCTGTTTCTTGGTTCCAAACCAGTGCTGCACCTGGCACCAACCCTTAGCTGGGTCAGAACTGTTGCTTGCTAAGAACCGCATGCACCATGTCACCTGATCACCTGGGTCCACCGTATCAGGGCAAAACAAATGTGTAGTGTGGCTTCATCTGGTTCAAGCTCAGTTCAGCTATCAGAAGAAGCAGCTCACCTAGGTGGGGCAACAGTGAGTCACAGGGGTGTTGAACGGAGGGGACAAGTGGCGACTGGAGGCTCGTACTTATTTGCTTTGTTAAATCCAGGTGTGTTATTCTATATGTCATAATAAAACACCTGGATGTGGATTAGTGTGCACACCTATGAAATGGACATCTGGACATAATTTACTAAACACTTAAAACACAGTAGAAAAAATGCTGGAAGTGCTGCAGGGGTGTGAGAAATCTTATCTGGTGCTCTCACTGGTGCTCTTCAGCCAAGGGATCCACATAAATGTTGGCAAAAGGAGATCTGAGGCACTCAGGAGATGCAAAAATAAAAAGCCTTTATTAGTACATGGCTTAAATTGTTAAAAACATCAATGCCAACGCGTTTCAGCCCACAGGGCCTTCGTCAGGGCTCAAAGATCTCCTTTTGCCAACACTTAAAACACTGTTTTTATTGTTAAAGGAACATCAGGTGCCCTAGGTGAGATTACTCCTTGGCAGCCCCTCATCCCCACTCTGCACACACACACACACACACCCTTTTATCTCGGTGTGCCCCTCGCACAAACAGAGTTTAAGGACGGCAGCCATCTAAACAGTTCAGTTTAGCAACAAGAATGTCGGCGGTCTCACCTTATTGGTCAGCCTGCAGACAGACTGACCAAAACATTGTTTGTGTTTCAGGAGCTGTTCGTGTCAGGAGAAGTGATCGAGGCTCCGCCGGAGCTCAAACTGCAGCAGGCTCAGTCCTGAAACTGGACTTCAGTGTAAGCTCTAATCTCTGAGAAGATCCTGGTGTGTGTCGTGCCCTGCTGGGACAGGTCAGACTCTTGCTGTGAATTAATGGATCGGCTGTTGGAGTTGCTCGTCCAGGATCCAGAACCCACCCCCTAGGAATGGGTTCAGTTACCGCAGAGAAAGTCGGCATGTTCAGCTTCTCGTTGATGTGGATTTACTGACTAGTTTATTAAATATTTATGTTCATGCCTAGTCTGACGGGTTTTTTCTTTGGTGCTGTTCAGCTTTACCTCCTCATCAGCTGTTTGTGCAATAAATAAAAGAATAGCTGTTAGACTTTATACATTCGTTTGTGTAAAGCTCAACTCATAAAAATTTCTGATCTTCTGTCACAATCTTCTGTAAATGCTACCTGAACCCCAGGGCGTGTGCTGATGTGATGCTGATCATTTTCAGAAGATTTTAATGTGACTCAGCTAAAGCAGAAATCTGCTGCTTCAGGTGAAAATGGGCTCCTTTTATCTCTTTTCAGGTGATGGTATTTTCTCCTGTATCCTGTCAGGCTGTAAAGCCATCAGAATCCATGAACTGGTGGACAAGACTATAGTGCATGAATTTGTCTGGAGTCTGGATTACTGTAATCCATTACTCTCAGGAAGTCCACAGAATGTAGTTAAAAGTCTTCAGCTTGTCCAAAATGCTGCAGCTAGAGTTCTGATGAGAATTTAAAAGAGAGATCATATCTCTCCTGTCTTAGCTTCCCTACATTGGCTACCTGTTAAATTCAGAATAGATTTTAAGATCCTCCTTCTCACATATAAAGCTCTAAAGTGCATCCCAACAAATAAGACAACCGACACCCAAATCACATCTGTCAGCCAGAACCGGCCCGCCAGCAATAACTTTTCACCCAGCAAATTATTTTGTATTTTCACTATTTCTTAACTTTTGTTTTCTTATTTGACTCATTTATTAATTATAAGCAGTTTGGAAATGCTTTCTGAAAAAGTTATGAAATAATCAAGATTAGGTTAATAAATAAGACAGATTATATTAATAAATAAAATGGATTACAGTAATAAATAAAATGGATTACAGTAATAAATAAAATTAGGTTACTAAAATGGATTAAAGTAATAAATAAGATGGATTACAGTAATAAATAAAATGGATTAGGTTACTAAATAAATTACAGTAATAAATAAAATGGATTAGGTTACTAAATAAGATGGATTACAGTAATAAATAAAATGGATTAGGTTACTAAATAAGGATTACAGTAATAAAAAAGATGGATTACAGTAATAAATAAAATGGATTAGGTTACTAAATAAAATGGATTACAATAATAAGTAAGATGGATTACAGTAATAAATAAAATGGATTACAGTAATAAATACAATGGATTAGGTTACTAAATAAGGATTACAGTAATAAATAAGATGGATTACAGTAATAAATAAGATGGATTAGGTTACTAAAATGGATTACAGTAATAAATAAAATGGATTAGGTTACTAAATAAGGATTACAGTAATAAATAAGAAGGATTACAGTAATAAATAAGATGGATTACAGTAATAAATAAAATGGATTAGGTTACTAAATAAGATGGATTACAGTAATAAATAAAATGGATTAGGTTACTAAATAAGGATTACAGTAATAAATAAGAAGGATTACAGTAATAAATAAAATGGATTAGGTTACTAAATAAAATGGATTACAGTAATAAATAAGATGGATTACAGTAATAAATAAAATAGATTCGGTTACTAAAATGGATTACAGTAATAAATAAAATGGATTACAGTAATAAATAAAATGGATTAGGTTACTAAATAAGGATTACAGTAATAAATAGATGGATTACTGTAATAAATAAAATGGATTAGGTTACTAAAATGGATTACAGTAATAAATAAAATGGATTAGGTTACTAAATAAGATGGATTACAGTAATAAATAAAATGGATTACAGTAATAAATAAAATGGATTAGGTTACTAAATAATGATTACAGTAATAAATAGATGGATTACTGTAATAAATAAAATGGATTAGGTTAATAAAATGGATTACAGTAATAAATAAAATGGATTAGGTTACTAAATAAGATGGATTACAGTAATAAATAAAATGGATTACAGTAATAAATAAAATGGATTAGGTTACTAAATAAGGATTACAGTAATAAATAAGATGGATTACAGTAATAAATAAAATGGATTACAGTAATAAGATGGATGGATAAAGGATTTACCTTGTGAAGGAGATTTTCAACATTCATAAAACCAGATAAACAATGTATAGAAGGTAGCAGCAGCAATGGAACAGCAGTTTCTAATTATTTTATTAACATAAAACAATTAACAGACTGAATAATGTACAAGTCTAGGTTTTCTTTGCAACAGTTACAGATGAAAGGTGATCCCACCCACCCACCGTAGCCTCGTCATCTCTAAGCCAAGTTAGACAGCTAATAAATACAGAAACATCCACAAACAACCATTTACACAACAACTGGGCTGTCGTAAAGTCGTTATTGGTTTTGTAGAACCACATAAAATATCGATTGTGGTCTCAACCTGAATAACATGCAGATAGCCTAGGCGGGACACATGGCTCACAATTAAGCCACTTTCAAAAGCAAAAGCGTGACTTTCAACATGTACAAGTATGTTGTCTCAAGCCCGTGTGTTCTAAGGTTTGTAACAAGGGAAACCGCTTGTAAATCCGTTAAAATTTCATCGAGTTAAGAGTGTTTTTGTTAAAGCTGATCACTCACCTTTCAGCTGCTACCAGTGAGAGCGGAGGAATCTGTTGCCCGAGGTAAGATGGCCGCCTGGTCGACTCCCGCTTTCGCCATCTAGTGTTTATATATACATATCTATGGTGTAATGACACAAAACAGGAAGTAACATTTTTGATCTTCAAAGTAAAAAACATACTCATCAACATAGAGGAGAAAAAAAAGGCCTAACCTCTTAAAATACAAATATATACGAATTTATAACATAAGTTTAAAAAATATTTTTATAACAGGAACACTTTGCATTAAAAAGATATAAAGTACATATTTGTAGGCTACTAAGTGCTTTCCTTTTAAATGTGCTACTTCCGGTCAGATGCACAGACAGAAGCTAGTCGCTCGGTAGCTAGCTAACGGGGTCATTAAATAGCAGGAGCTAACTCATAAACGGCTTCTGCTGGTTCAAACATGGCTTTGTTGACGCCGCTGTTCGCTTTTCTCTACCACCTCCCGCAGGTGTACAAGTGGCTGCTGAAGCCTTACTATGTGGCCTCTTTTTTCATGTCGTTAGCTTTTCTAGCTGTCCGTAAAACGCCTGGAGTCTGCGACCATTTGTCTTCACAGCGAGAGGACGGAAACTCCTGCGACTTTGACTGGGTCTGTAGAAACCACACGCTGTTAACTAGCTGGTTAACTGGTTACAGAGGAGAGCGCTGCAGGTTTTCTGTTACTGCTGTCCTGGAGCTGGTGGAGACGTTTGCTGGGTTTGGTTGTACCAGTGGGAAGAAGTGTAGCTGAACCAGCGGTGTTAGGGTGGACCGGACCCGGCCTGGCTCTGTTTTATGAATGACTCCAGACCCCATCACAAAAGAAGGCAATCCAGTCCTGGTCACTGTCCAGCATGTTTTAGATGTTTCCCTGCTCGAACGCACCAGACTCACAGGTGTACAGCTCAGCCGGTTCTGCAGCAGCGTTTCAGTCACTTGCTGGTTAAAACCGTAATGATGGTTAAAACAGGTGTGTTGAAGCAGATAAACAACTAAACATGCTTGGTGGCGGGCCTCCTGGACCAGGATTGAACACCTCCGCTAAAGGCTCGGTTAGACGTTCATGTTGAACCCAACTATAGACATTAGAAACACCCAGAGGAGGTCCAGATGCTTCTGTTGGACACATTTGTTAATCTGCATCACACACACACACACACACACACACACACACACACACACACACACACACACACACACACACACACACACACGAGTGGTGAGATGACATGTTTAATCCTGGGAGCGTTTCTCCACCCAACATGATGTTGGACCAACACTTGCTCTCGGGTGAAGGATTGAAGAACACACTTTTGATGCTGTTGGCTACCAAATATCTCCACTCTGAACTGAACGTAAAGCTGAGGGCAGTAATGCAGCCGATGTCTTGTGTGAATTCTGGAACTCTGGTTAGTAATTCTAGTGTTTGTTTTCAGAGAGAAGTGGAAGTTCTCATGTTCCTCAGTGCCATCGTCATGATGAAGAACCGACGAGCAAGTAAGTACATCTCATCTTCAGTCGGAGAGGTGATTCAGGTGTTTCTGCTCGGGTTTAGTAAAACCGCGGCAGAGGTCCTCACAGTGGATTTCTGAGGGTAAAGTCTTGATGCTTCACTACTCATAACAGCCACTTAGGATTATTTATTTATTTAAATGGGAAGAAAATCCTTTTGAGATTTAAAACCTGGTCAATATAGGCAGCAGCTAGCGTCATGCTAAATCACAATAAAAAAAAGGAGTTAAATGGTTCAAGTTCAATAAAAAATGGTAAGCAGTTACACATCGTGGAGCGGGCCTCAAGATTTCTTAGTTTAGATTTAAAAACACTCAACGAAGTTAGCCCAGTCCTTTTCCAGTCCTCAGGTCGGTCCGCACCGAGGCTGCTGAGTGGACAAAAGCTCTTCTGCCAAGTTCAGTGAGTGTAAATGGGACAGAAGGCAACAAGCAATCCTGCAAATGTTTCAGTCCTCCTCCTGCTGGCTAACGCAGGCCACCTGAGCGTGTAACCAGTGGTGAGTCAGAAATCTACAGTTAGTAATGAACCTCAGAGCAGCATGGTGCACAAGGTCAAAGTGATCAAAGTCAAATAGGAGCCTAAGTCTCCTCCCTCTCCGGTCGTCTGTGGGTCCCTGAACGGGGCTAAAAACGCTATTTTCTAACCCGCTTTGCCTTACGCCCTGGAACACACACACACACACACACACACACACACGTTGTACTGCTATTTAAATGAAAAGTAATGAGATCTTCAACCACGCCAGTCACGGTCTTTGAGATTTACCAGCTCGTAAAAGTTCGTAATTAGCATGACTTAGCGTTGTTATGGTAACCGGTGTAGCAGTAAATCCTGGTAAAAAAAAAGTTGACAACAATAATAACCGTCTTGTTTTTTTAACAAATATATTATCTCGGTGGATTACCGTAGGCGCGGTGACCCTTACCAGCCACCGTATCATCTGCTGAAGTTGCCGGCGGCACATGCGCACTTTGTTGTTTACAACCAAAACTTTCTTGAAGCTAAAGCTGAAATAATGGCCAAAGGAGGAGACGGCAGCGCTCAGGAGGACATTTATTATCCCTCAAAGAAGACAAAGTGGGAAGTACGGGCATCTTCTGGATATTTGAAGAATGCCGAGGGACAGCTGATAGAAGACGGCTATCCTGTTTGCAGCACGTGCAGAAAAAGTGTCTGTGAAAGGCAGCAACGCTTCAAATCTCATGACACATCTGCGTGACCATCACCCACAACTCTACAGTCAACGCAAGGCAAGCTAACGTTAGCGCTTTAGCTAAAATGCGTGATCCGAGGATTTGGGTTGAGGGAGAACGCAACGAGTCGCTATATAAAGCAGCCGCAGCGCCGCTACCTGCATATAAACCGTGTCGCGGACACCGCCATGTTGAAATGACGCTATGCATTACGGGGCTCCCAGGGGCAGATAAGAGTTGGTCTCTCTCCGAGAATAATTATGAATTTAACAACGATTACTGCCTGATGACATTTTCCCACATCTGCAAAGCTCACTGGAAGGACACAAACCGAGGACAATATTTTCCTGATATAGGGTTTATTACTCAAGTAAGGGTAAAAAAGTATCTGATTAGAAGGCTACTTGAGTACTGAGTATCATCTGATCTAATATTTTTAAATGATGACATCAAACAGACATAAAATAAGAAGTTATGGGCAAATATTGGTATTTTAAAGGCTAAAGGGGAAAAATGTAAACAAATAAACAACATAATTACAAAATAACACATTTTAGGCCAAATTTAGACACAAACTGAGGACAATATTTCCTGACATACAGGGTTTATTTAGTTGTCTGAAAATGTAACACGTTTAAAAAAAAATACCGCGATAATACCGAAAACCGTGATAATTTTGGTCACAATAACCGTGAGGTTACATTTTCACACCGTGACAACCCTAGCGTGACTACAACTTAGACCTCGGCACGTCGCAGATGTGACGTCACCACGTAATCTCCTCTAGCGTAGCTGCTGCTTACCACATGACCAGATTTATGGTGGCTCTTCCCTCCTGAAGGAAGGATTTGAGATTTGCTGAACTTACAGCCCTGTTCTGGTTCAATGACGTCACTTTCGTGAAGCGCATTTGTAGTCCTGGACTTATTTTCACACTAAACCTAAAATAGCGTTTCCCCTCGTTAAAAAAAACACGTTCTTGGTATCAAAATGTGTCTTTAAAGTTCACAGACATTGTATGTGAAATCCATGTCACAAAACAAGCGGGGTATGAAAATAGCGTTTTTAGCCCCGTTGACTTGCATTCTTTTATTCGTTTTTCCGGAGACCCGTGGTGCGGAAGTGGGTGGGCGTGACTTAGGCTCCCTATAAAATATCTCCTTAATCCGGCACAGGTAAAAATGTTGCAACCAGCCGCTTCTTTGCATTAAAAGAAAAACACAACTTATTTTGAAAATAAAACCGTTTTGACTTCAGCTTCTTCACAAGATTCTCTGGATGTGGTTTGATGGTGACCAAATCTTCAATCACAAGCCCAGATATCTGTACATGTGAACAAACACCATTCATTCACCCTCAAGAGTGGCCTCTGAAGGTACCACGGTAGCCAAATTCAGATGAATGACCATGTGCAGGCTCAGGTGTCAGGTGGCTCACAGCTCTCTGGTGGTTGGTCTGATCCAGATTAGTGTTGGATGTCACAACCCTCCTTTTGTGTTTCACCGTTTTAAAGGGTCAAAATAGTGTCGGAACCCTTGTTTGCTTTGGTGATGGACAGACAGATGATGCTAGACAGGAGTATCCATGGACCATGATGTCTGCAGATGATGCAGTGAGAGCAGATAGAGGAGATCATGCATGAGATCGCGGTTTGATGTCGTATATGACGTTGTTCCTCTCTGCTGCCGGGATTAAAGCCATGAAAAACACACCGCTGCACTTCTGGAACTATGCAGGGAGTACATGAGCCGTTGGGTCACGCTAGGGCTGGACGATATGGCCTCAAACCAATATCACCATATATTGAGGATTTCACCTCAATAACGATAAGTGGACGATAGCTACAGGTGTGCGCAGAAACAAATGTTGTCCACTAGATGGGGCTGTCACATGTGTCACGCTGAGTTTTACGTGACTCCAGGAGGTACAGCTTCTTAAAGCGACATGGACGCTAACCTACACATCTTTTCATGTTTTTATTGAATTTATTGACGTGGGAAAATTGTTTCTCAAGTCGGACATTTCGATAATGATAAATTTTCCATTTGTTGCCCAGCCCTGGGTCACACGTTCATTTCTATGAAATTGCATCGCTGCAGTACTTTTATTTTGAAAATTACCAGGGCTTTTACACTGAAACCGTGTGTGATTTCCTGTCTAGCCGTATGTTAACTGCGAAACTTAATGCATCCCAGAAGTGGCTCATGTAAAAAATAGAAGCGATCCTCTCTTTAGCGGTGTGGCGCTCGTGGGACGTGTCTGAAGCCGGCGGCGCTGCGGCTGGTTTGAAACGGTTCCGTCTGAAGCAGCGTCGTTCCCGCCGCTGACGCTTCCAGTGTGCAGTACGGGTTGTTGTCAGGCTCTGAAATAGGAAAGAGCTTCAGTTGATTTAGTAACGTCTTAAATTTGGTTAGAGGTGACCTGTGTCAGTGGGACATTTCAAACTTTCTAACAACAATTCAGCTACAGCAGCTTTTCAATAAAGTTTCAAAATACGACGTTTTAGAAAGAGTATTACCGTTGGTTTCCGAGTCACATGACACGTCTCTCAGTGACATCTCTTAAGTCTCAGCATCTATTCAACTTTAAATGAATGCCTTTACATTCTTTGTTTCCACGTATCTCAAAAAGTCCTCAGGACTTGGTTCTGACTCCGGGCCCCTGTGCCCCCGCCCCAGCAGGGGGCACAGGGGCCCAAGAAGCGCCCCTGAACGATGGTTCTGTTGTAATGGGTTTGAAATCAGAAATGACTGTTGACCTTAGACCAGACCTGCTGCTGTTTCATGATCGTGTCTCTGTGTCTGTTGGTGTCAGTAACTGTGGAGCAGCATGTGGGCAACATCTTCCTCTTCTCCAAAGTGGCCAATGTGATCCTGTTCTTCAGACTGGACCTCAGGATGGGTCTCCTCTACCTGACGCTCTGCATAGGTCAGTGGAGCTCTGACAGCTCTGGGCTCACAAAGCCCTGGTTTTCCCTGGGTGGTCTCCGGGTGTGTTGGGTGTGATTTTTATTATTTTTGACAAACAAACATGCCAAGATCCAAACAACACAACCGCTTTAAGCTTTTCATTTATTATAAAGGTTTTAAAACTGAATTAAACGTTCATCAGCCCTTTTACAGGGCCAGTCCTGTGCTGGGAATGCAGGTACAGCGGGTACATTTGGAAAAGGCCTTGTTGAAGAGACAATGTGCAGCTTTTATTTTTAATTCATTAGTTCAAAGATCCACGAGTCTGCCGCTGTGTCGATACCCCACGGCGCCCAGAGCCGAGGCGACCGCAGCAGACCACAGCGGTGGAACGGCGAAGCCTGATAGCCTCAGTCAGATCTTTAGCTCTAGTTTGCTTTACCCAGTAGCCACACCAGCACGTTAAAGTTCAACCCATCTTAGACCAAGCAGTGTTGTGGTAAACACACAGAATTTCCCTCCATTCAACCAGCAAACTAATAGCGAGAAAAATGAGGTTGAGCGACTCAAAAGTGAAGGAGCGTCAACAAAAGAGCCGTGGTGTTTCTGTGGGCTCCCTCAGAAATCCACCAATGACCAGCATGACTACAGCCTCGCATCAGACCCGGACCGGCTGCCCCGGGAAACGGGAACAGCCGGCCTCCTGCTCCAGCAACTGTTCTCAGGCAGGAGAGAAGAGAAGCTGGGCACCCGCTCCAGGTTCTTATGTTGGACCAAGTAGTAACATGACAGCATTTCCCTGCTCAGCCAGCCAAATAAAGTACAGACATATAAATTTAGATACTGACAAAAAAACAAAAGCAGAAGCTGCTTGGATGGCCTGTTAGTGACCATCTTGTCCTTTTGCCCAACTAATCCCATGATTAACATCCAAACACACAGAAGAAACCCTGTCAAAATGGCCGTACATCTAGTTGCGTGAGGCTCAGGCGGAGGCCTTTCCCCGGAGCCAGCTATGACGTCACGTGGCTCTGACGCTCATTAATTATTCAGACTTTTAAGCATTTATTTCCACTTAAACAGAGGAGTAGTAATTCACCCCCTCAGAGTTGTCGTTAATGTAAACTATATTTATTAAACCACAGATGTTTCTTGAACCAGGCTGTAAACACGTTTATTTCTGCTGTGAAACCAGCATTTTTTAAAATGGGAGTCACTTCTGCTGCCAGCCCCTAGTGGATGAGGGTGGAACTGCAGTCTCCGTGTTGGCTTCCTTTTCATAGCAGAATTATGGGGGCTTGGCCGGTGAACCAACATCCCGAAGGCTGGAAAACGAGTTGTGTTGTTGCAATACCACCTCTGAACACCAGAGTGTCCGTGCTCCATATTCAGCCTTTAAAGGATTCCCAGTTGTTGAAACGTATCGACAGCTTCCATAAAGTAGAGCCATAAAAATTGGACCTAAAATACAAGGGAGCGCCATATTAGACTCCATGTTCCCTTCTACGGGAGCCCGTGAGAACAAAATGCATTTACTGACTCGTAACAAACGGTGACTGAACTTTGTCATTCATCTTCACTCGTTGCCAGCGATGAAAGGGAGTCTGCTGTGCTTGCCCTTTTGCTGCAGATTGTGCTCCCAGAGACTTTTGACCCTAATGGGCATCCGTTGGTAAGGTCCTACTCGAACACAAGAATCCCACCAGGGAAAAGATGCACTTCCACTTTAAGCACACGGCCGCTGTGAGGCTCAGGCTTCAGTCACGAGGTGCAGGTTGTTCTGCTGGAGACGGAGGAACCAGAGGAGTTGGAACATTACGGACCAACTGTTGTCTAAACTGGTGTGTTGATGTGTGTGTTCCAGTGTTTCTAATCACCTGTAAGCCGCCTCTCTACATGGGACCAGAGTACATCAAATACTTCAGCGACAAAACCATTGATGTAAGTAAAAGTGTGCCGCAGCAGTGAGGCTGCGTGTCCCGTCGGCGCTCACAGCATTCTTCTCGTGTGATCAGGATGAGCTGAACCGAGACGGACGGGAGACGTGGATCGTGGAGTTTTTTGCCAACTGGTCTCCTGAGTGTCAGTCGTTCGCTTCGGTGTATGCTGACCTGTCACTAAAGTAAGACTCCCACCCGTCTCCTGCAGACAACTCCTACCAGAGGAGGCTCAAACAACACGCTGAACACACGACTCGTTCGTTTCTGGTTTCTCCAACAACCATCAGATCAGAGACGGCTGTGTTCATGAAGCTGAACCAAAACGGTAGAATTCTGTTGTTCCCCAGCAGAAACAAATCCAAACCCAGTCCCAGATGAGCGTCCACCATGTCGTTATGCTTTGGTGTGACTCGTTTAGGATGTTATGAAGATCTTCTTGGGTCTGAGTCATCACAACCATCAACTCCACTCTTCTTTTCTCCAGGTACAACTGTGCCAGTCTCAAGTTTGGGAAGGTGGACATCGGCCGCTACGGAGAGGTCTCCAAGAAGTGAGTGTTGTTCAGTCCGTCAGTCGTTGTGTCCTTGTGCGAGACGCGTCACCCTCCCCGTCTGGTGTTGGTGGTCGGAGGAACCGGTGGTGGCAGTGCCCCAGGGCACCACCCGTGTGTGTTGGGCACTTTGGGGGGTTGTGGAACCCTAGAAGGGTTATAGCACATGAAGTACAAGCCGTTCACCACTTCACATCTGTGGGCCACTGGATGGGTTGCACAAACGTCTACACTGGTTAAAGGTGCATTATTTAAAAATGAAGACGAGTGACGGTTCCCCTCCTGTTCCGTAAGTGTCATGGCTGTTGCCAGTTAGACTCACGCTGAACTCGTCTTCCCTGAACAAAAATAAAAATGCACCACTTTAGTTTTTGCTCCGTTTATCAGATGACCTCAAGGGTCTGAAACCGCACCGAGAACCCGTTACTCTCAACTCTAGGGAGCCTATGTCGTCTCCTCTTCTGATTGGCTCAAGGGTCCCCAGAGCAAAGTAAATGCAGTGGTGCGTTTCCATCGTCGGGAAATCGTCAGATTTGATTCAGTTTTTGGTGTTTGGAGTTTCGTAACGCCGGTTTTAAAGCGGTGCCATTTTCATCACCTGCAGCTCTTCTACTGCTGGTGATGTCATTTCCTACGCTACTAAAACCAGCCAGCTACTCCACCGGGCCATTTCAAGTACCTACCTTCAATCAGGTACTCCGAACGTTCCTGAAAATGGTTGTTCGGCCGACCCAGTGTGGCTTCTCCCTCAGCCTAGCTGCTACTTACCACATGACCAGATTTATGATCTCCACTGTCCTGGAAGAAGGATGAAAGCTCGCTACTCTGAGCAGTTAAGGAGTCCGTTACGTGTTTTACACAAAACCTGATGTACCTTTTCTCACCTCTGAAAATTAAAGCAAGATGGCTGCCTCGGCTAATCATCTGGGAGTTGGTCTGTGTCACAGATGTAGGCCTGATGTTAGTCAGCCTTTACTTTACTAGAAGGGATTGATGATGAATATGAACGGGCTTCGCTTCACCTGCAGGTACAAAGTGTCCACGTCTCCTCTGTCCAAGCAGCTTCCCTCGTTGGTGTTGTTCCAGGGGGGGAAGGAGGTGATGAGGCGCCCTCAGATTGATAAGAAGGGCCGAGCCGTGTCCTGGAGCTTCACTGAGGTTAGGATCCACATCGGACACACACCGTTTTTATCCAGTCAGGTGAAACTTGCCGCTTTCTCTCCACCAGGAGAACATCATTCGAGAGTTCAACCTGAACGAACTCTACCAGAAATCCAAGAAGCTTGGCAAGAACAAAGGAGACAAGCTGAGCTCATCCCAGTTCCCACCTGTACCTGAGGAGGAGGAGGAGCCAGGACAGCCTGGGACTGATGCCCAGTGGGAGGAGCCTGAATCTAAAAAGGACAAATAAGACCATCAGTTTCAGAGCTTAGACTTCTAGAAACTCCTCACTTTTTGTTTTCAGCTCATCTGTTCAGGGATGGCCTGGGCTCTCTCAGTGGGGGTCCAGGGTCCTGGAGAGCTGCTAGAAGTCTACACAGCTGTGACTCCTCAGGTGGAGGGGGCTGGCGTTCGTAGTCTAACTCCATGTTCATCTAAAAAAAAAACTCCCATTTAACGACATTTCAGTCCCGTCTGTCCCGAGCTTCACATGCAGACATTTTAGATGTGGTCCGGTTTGGAGTTGGAGTCGTCCACGGATCTTATTAACTGCATTCAGGTCTGGACGAAGATGAAGAGCTGGGCCGAGGCAGTTCAGTACCCTAGTCTGGAGTTATCCAGCTGTCTAAACGTGGTCCTGACCCTCTAACATTCCCGTAGTCAGTATGGATGACCCTAAGCCCGTTTCTGGAATGGTTTTATTTGCTGTCATGTTGATGTTCACTTGTGTCATTCCTGTTCGTGTCTCTGATAATGTGAACTTTGTCATTCCTGCAACAGACAATAGAAGTTACCATTTTAATGTTTGGTGTTTTACTCTCGTTGTTGTACACAAATATATTACAGCTGGGACTCCACCGCTCTACCACCACCTCACAGGAAGTGGCGTTAAATCCCCACGTCCGCCGCTCTGCAACACGCGTGGCCAGTAAGGCAGCGACGAGACCAGGACCAATGGGGTCAGGTCAAAAAGGAGATGACGTTAGCTTGTTTTTGTTCTCCTTGGAATAAGTTCAGGCATAAAAGACGTTCCAGATGTCTGGGTTAGCCCAGAGCCGCCCGACACCGCAGCAGCAGGGAGGCTGGTGCTGGCCACACGTCTCACAGCTGCTGGAATCCGACCTTTCGGCTTTTCATACAATTTCATGAGATTTTTGTTAATATTCATAATTTTACTCAAATTTCCAGTAAACAAAGGTTTGGTTTAAACAGCAGATCCAAAACTGGCTCCTTTCAGACCACAACCACTCAGAGCGCTTTTATCTTCTCATCCTGAAGCGTGCACCTGAACGCACCGCTTCTTTCACTCGGTAGTAACTTGATTTTCAGCTACATGTCCGTACAAATTCATAAAAAACATCGCATCAACAGGCTGAAATAAAAACTGATCTCTCAAGGCAGCTGCTCAAAGAAGGAGTTGTCTAGAACTTCTGCCCCATCGCCAGGAACAAAAACAGGTTCCTGGTCGTTCTCCCGCTGTGGAGGTCCAGAACCAAGCTCAGCAGATCACTGCACCAGTCTGATAAAAGCACCTGTTAGGGGAAAAAAAACACATCATTCTGTACAAACAGGTCTATTTACACCCAGGACCCCCGACCGGTGAACAGGTAACAGGGACTCACTGGGATTTCACCAGTCTGACCAGTCAGAGCCCTGGAATGTGTTCCGATCTGGCTCCGCCATCTATTTAGATGTCAGTCTCGCTGATGAAAGACGTGGACAAAGCTGAGCAGGTCCTCCCTAAACCTGAACCCGGTCTGGTCGAAGGGTCAAGTCATTTCAGCGTTGGAACAAAGAATCAAACCACTAAATCGATCCGGCTCAATGACTCCAGGCTCTACAGATCGTCTAGTTTAGTCTGGGGGAGCCAGGTGGTTCAGTCCATTTTCACTCAACAGTCAGAGATTGCAGAAAACGTTCCAAATCTGGATCTCTACGGAGTCCTGCAGCCAATCACACAGAGATCTCGTAGGTGGTGCCCCCGACCCCCATCACCTTTTTCACTTCACCTCCCTGAGACTCGTGGGCAGGACTTGGCATCAGTGACGTACTCGGATGGGTCACTCCGGACAGGGCGGGTGTAGAGAACGGGTGGGAGGGGGAAGAAGGAGCAGAGCAAGAGGAGGACGTGATGGTGAAGGGTTGGCTGCTGTTGGTCCGACTCAGAGGTCTCATCTGGTTCTGCTCATCCCTGGTTTTAAAACGACAAAACAAACATGTTGAGGATCAGCGAAGGAAGCCAGAGATGACCGAAAACCTAAAGAACACTGGACTGAAACGAGCTAGAACCACAGACTGGGTGATGGGGGGGGGGGGGGGGGGGGGGGGCTCCTTCAGTCTGTAGCGAGTGGAGCACCAGAAGCATCACCCATCAGGTGCTACATCAGTTCCACCACATCAGATATGCCACAGACCAGCTACAGGTGTGGATCTGAATGCTCCTAGTTGTCCCCTCTGAAGTGTTATTTTGAAGTAATTATTCTAGAGTAATCCAGTATGAAGTAATCTAGACGAATTTTTTAATTTAGAGTAAACTAGAGTAACCTTGAGTAATCTATTCTAGAGTAATCCAGTATGAAGCAATCTAGACACGTTTTGTAATTTAGAGTAAACTAGAGTAACCTAGAGTAATCCAGTCTCGATTAACCTATTCTAGAGTAATCCAGTATGAAGTAATCTAGACGAGTTTTCTAATTTAGACTAAACTACTCCAGAGTAACCTAGAGTAATCCAATATGAAGTAATCTAGATGAATTTTCTAATTTAGAGTAAACTAGAGTAACCTTGAGTAATCTATAATCCAGTATGAAGTAATCACAAGACAAGTTTTCTAGTCTAGAGTAACCTTGAGTAATCCAGTCTTGAGTAATCTACTCTAGAGTAATCCAGTATGAAGTAATCTAGACAAGTTTTTTAATTTAGAGTAACCTAATCTAGAGTAATCCAGTCTCGATTAATCGAGTAATCCACTATGAAGTAATCTAAACAAGGTGTCTAATTTAGAGTAAACTAGTCTAGAGTAACCTAATCTAGAGTAATCCAGTCTCAAGTAATCTATTTAATCCAGTCTCGATTAATCGAGTAATCCACTATGAAGTAATCTAAACAAGGTGTCTAATTTAGAGTAAACTAGTCTAGAGTAACCTAATCTAGAGTAATCCAGTCTCAAGTAATCTATTCTAGCGTAATCCAGTATGAAATAGACAAGTTGTCTAATTTAGAGTAATCTATTCTAGAGTAGACCTTAAACCAGGATGGTGAACCATCTTTGTTTTCAGCTCGTGTGAGAGTTGTTCTGAGACCACGTGTTGCTGCTCTTCAGAGACTTACAATTGGCTCTCTTAAACACGTTCTCATAACTGGATTAACTGGAAAACATCACCATGTGTGTCTCCTATATATTTAACTGAAATGTTTTATCGTAACAACCGACGATTTCTACAGGAAAATCATGAAGATTAACAAGGCCGCCCAAGCTTTTGAACCCCACTGTACATTACCCCAGATTAGATGACTTCAGATTAATCTAGAGTCATCTAGTCTGGTTTAATCTAATCTAGAGTTATCTACTCGGGAGTGATCAAGTCTAGAGTTATGTATTCTGAACCAATCTAGTCTGGAATAATCTAATCTACTGTAGTTATCTAGTCCAGTAATCGAGTTTAGAGTAATCTAATCTGCATTAATGTAATCCAGAGTAATCTAGTCAGGAGTAGTCTAATCTAGGGTAATCTAATCTCAAGTTATGTAGTACAGAAAAATCTTGTCTAAAGTAATCTAGTCTGGATTAATCTAATCTAGAGTTACCTACTCTGGAGTGATCAAGTCTAGAGTTATGTATTCTGAACCAATCTAGTCTGGAGTAATCTAATCTAGAATAATCTAATTTAGGGTATTCTAGTCTGGAGTAATCTAATCTACTGTAGTTATCTAGTCCAGTAATCGAGTTTAGAGTAATCTAATCTGCATTAATGTAATCCAGAGTAATCTAATCTGCATTAATGTAATCCAGAGTAATCTAGTCAGGAGTAGTCTAATCTAGGGTAATCTAATCTGGTTAGTATAGAAAAATCTTGTCTAGAGTAATCTAGTCAAGTGTAATCTAGTTAGGGGTAATATCATCTAGAGTAATCTAATCTAGAGTAATCTAGTCTGGGATAATACAGAGTATTCTAATCTAGGCTAATCTAATTTAGAGTAATATAATCTGGAGTAAACTAGTGTGGATTAATCTTATCTTCTAGACTCCTCGGATGGTCCAATGGCAAATTTGGAAAGCAAATGAGTTTGAAACAGTTTTTCATGCCTCTTATCAACGTTCTAACACAATATAGCTATAAATATAATGTGGAGATTAAAAAAATGAATAAAGCGGTTCTCACACATTTCAAAATCTCCACCAAATGCAACTATTGGACCACCCGGTTGTCGGTTTCACCGATCCGCCGCACTTCCCTGGGTCCTCCACGCATCACAAACTCACGCATTTAGCAACAGAACACCACGGGTGGCAGAGGTTCTCCGCTCATTAACGGAGGGGGAGAAACAGCCGGCTGCTACCACTTTAGGACAAAGTACCAGAGTCCCAAACAGAAAAAAACCTTCTGAAGTTGCGAACAACAAAAGACGTTTGGACCTAGAAAACAGAGACTGGTGTTTAGTGCCCTCTCTTTTCCTCTGGCATTGCAGACTTCCGGCTCCGGCAGAAGCATCTCGGGGAGGATACCTGAGGGGAGGTGTGGGTGTTCGTGACGGAGTTCCAAACCTAGCTTGTTCTGTAAACTAGCAGCTTTAAACATGACAAACAGAAAACATGCTCACCATCACATCAAGACTCAACGACACTGGTGGAGTACAGAGGTCATGCAGAAAAGAAACCATCTACAGAGCACACATGCTGGTGGTTCTGGACAACGTTCCACACGTTCCCTCGTATACATTACAGACCATTCAGATGTTTCCAGAACCTACTTAAAGAAAATCTTGTCCTGATCCAAACAGCCCACAGAAAACCAGAGGGACTCTGACACGTCATTTGTCATGATATGCTAATTTTATGACCAGCGCTTGTAGTTTGTCCCACTTGGACCAGTCTGCTCTCTTCATCCAACAGCTGTGGAGATGCTACGACCCAGATGTCCAGCTCACACTTTCGTCTGGGTTCTCAGATCAGTCAGGAATCTGGACTGTGGTTCTGTCCACCTTCCTCCTCCTGACATCATCTAACCAAAGCTGCACTCAACCACATGTTTACGTATGAAATCCTCCAGTAGGTCTACTGGAGGAACCGCTAATGGGAGGAAACACAAAACATGCCGAGGACAACAAGGCGTCACACACACAACACCGAACGAGTGGGAGGGAAGCAAAGGGAGAAGAAGGAGCAACTCACAGGAAATCTGGAAGGAGGGGAGCAGAGGAGGAGCAGAAGGAGCATCGGTCAGGCGGGCAGGTGGGTGTCAGTGTTAGCAGCAAAGCAATCATCCTGGCAAAAGGCAAAGCTCATACTCACTTTGGGGCTTGAACTCCTCCTCCCACACCTGCTGCATTTGCTCCAGCTGACGCAGCCGCCTTGCGGATCAGCCGGTACTGCATTTCGGCAGCCGCCGCACTGGAGTAAGACAGTGACTTGCCGAGTGGTGGGGGGTGTGGGGAGTGGGGTGGGTGGGCTGTGGGGGAGGAGCCCATGGGGGTGTCTGTGGAGCGAGTACGATAGGGGTAGGCATGGTGGGTAGGAGCAAAACGAGGAGGGCGAGCAGTGGAGGATGAGGAGGAAGAGTGGTGGTGATGGGAGTGATGGTGATGGTGGTGGTGGTGTGGGGGAGGGGGGACTGACGAGCTTTGATTGGCAGGTAGGATATGAGCAGTGGGGTGGGGTTCCCCCAGCAGGCACTCTCTTTCAGGGGGGGGCGGTGGAGAAGAAGACGTGGAAGAAGAGGAACGATGAACGAAGGGGTGGTGGTGGTGATGGTGGTGGTGGTGGTGGTGATGAGAGGGGCGGTGGTGGTGATGACGGGGGGACTGGGAGGACTGGGACTGCAGGTCAGCCTCTCTCTGTTGTGACAGGAACGGGGAGCTGTAGCCACCTGCTGCTGGTGTACAGGGTCTCCCAGCAGGAAGCTCAGGGGCTGCTGGACCAACCCCCCCGCCTTTCTCTAAGTCCTCCCCACCAGTTAGCAAGCTGTCGTAGGATAGGCTCCCATTGCGTGAGGGGTGGTGAGGTGGCGGCGTCTGATTGGCTAGGCTCTTGAAGCTGGCTGAGGTGGTGGTTGCCTCGTAGACGGGGACAGCCCCTGCAGAGGTGTGTGTGGAGCTGGAAGATCGTGATGTGACCTCTGATAGGACGGTGGGATCAGAGAAGGAGGGGTAGGAGCGACCGCCAAGGGAATACCCGGGTATACCCCCTCCTCCCGCCTCCCTCTGCTCCCCATTGCCCCCCCATCCCACTCTATCTGTTGAAGTTTCCCTTCGGTCCAGGCTGGGCTGCGAGCGGAAACCAGGCTGTTGGCTAGCCTGGAGGAGGGAGGAGGTGGAGGAGGAGGAGTCCCTGGCACTGCCAACACTCTCCCCTCGACTCAACTGGAGGAGCAGGAGAGGGGAAGAAAGGGATGGGGAGGGAAAAAGAAATAAGAGGCTGAGCAGAGGGAAGCAGAGGGCCTAAAGTTAGAGCATCACTTGACTTTCTGCAGGGTGGAAGCGACACTCACACTAGACCGGTCCTGGTCAAACATGTTTTAGGTGTTTCCCTGCTCCAACACACTCAGCAGCTCATCAAGTAGCCCATTAATCACCAGGGGCCTCATTTATAAAACTTTACATGGAATCCTCACTAGAACTCCACTTAATGAGTCAGTGTGTAGTTTTTACTGTTAATCTACGGAAATGTCGTTGAACATGAATTCGATGATGCGGTTTCACAATGTAACCATAAAAAATCGTGTCTAAAATACTCTGACTCCATATTAGACACCGTGTTTCCCTCTATGGGAACCTGTGAGGACAAAAGACATTTACTGATTTGTAACAAACGGCTACAAAACGTTCACCATGCATAAACGTTGTTGTTGTACACATTTATCTCTTCGCTTGTTGCCAGTCTGATCTACTTGATATTTAGATGGAGGTTGTGCTCTCAGGGATTTTTTACCCCAATGGCACGGTTTTTCCAGCATTCAAATTAGCGTGGCGGCCGCCTCCAGCTCAAGCCCCCACAATGCGGCTCAAAAATTGAAGCAATCCCGGAAGTACCAAAAATTGCAGTTCCACCCTCATCCACTAGGGGCTGGTGTCAGAAGCAAGCAAATCCTCATTGACTCCCATGTTAAAAACACCAATTTCACAGCAGAAATAAACATGTTTACAGTCTGGTACCAGAACATGTTTTTGGTTTAAATGATCTAGTTTACACTCATGACAACTCTGAGGGGGTGAATGTTTTTCTCACTCTTCTGTTTAAGTGTATTAAAAGCCTAAAATTCTGTATAATTAATGAGCATCAGACCCACGTGACCACAGAGCTAGCTCCGGGGAAAGGCCTCAGTAGAGCCTCGGCCTGTCCTGGAAACTGCTCCGGGATTTTGAGTCTCTGTGTTTGTGTATTCTTGTTTGGATATTATTTGTGCAATTGTTGGACAAAATGACTTGCTGTGGCATTAATTGCACTAAGAGAGCATCCAAGGAGTCTCCACTTCATTTTTTTCGGTAAGTAAAATTATATTTATGTATTTTAGGTCACTGCCGAGCTGAGATTAGATTTTAACAGGTTGCAGGTTCGGCCAGGCTTCACAATGAGCTCACCCGAAACTCTGGCTGAATAGGACCCACACCCACCCTCACACCTTGGCTCATGTGTTTATGTAGAAGATCATCAGGGGGTCTTTTGTTCCCTCTTCGGGGGGAAACTCCCACTGAGTTTAAATCTGGGACTCTCCACCATTTGACCTTAGAACTGAAGAAGCCTCTCGGATGAGAGGTGAAACGTCTTCATGCAACTCAAAGAAGTCCAGACGCTTTTCTTTCAAAGCTCATTAGACCACCTCTGCCTCAGTTTGAGCCTGGAAAAACCCTGCCTAACGGGCATCCATTGCTAAGGTCTTACTACAAAAATACTGCTTGCTTGCAATGACTTAGGTATGTACTGGAGCTGGACGATAATTCAATAATGAAACATATCTATCGACAGATGTGTGTGTTCTTTCCTTTTTTATTTTAGCCAATCAGGTAGCTTAATACTATAATCCCAACCAATCAACAGCACAGACCCAGGCACGCTCCCCTCTCAGACCTAATCAGAGAGCACGTGACTTAAACTAGACGTTGCAGCAAGGAGAGGTGGAGGAAATTCTCTCGAAAGAATGATTTGGATTTACAAGTCCCACAAAAACAACTGTTTGCTAAAATTGTTATGGGAGCTGAAGTTAAAGTTCAGCTAACAGAGGTGCACATTTGGTTCTTTTCCATGTTTGTCCCTTTGATAGTGCTGTTACAGCAACATTAATGATGGTGGCTGTCTCACTCAGCACCATGGGTGAGTCAGGTACTCTCCGGTAGCTTTACCGAGTTTACCGTAATAACACTAAGTGATCTTAAGCGTGCAACTTCTCTTCTAGTAAAGCCCATTCGAATTCTTCTGATTGCACAAACCTTTGGAGAGTTACGGTAATTCAAACAAGCATGTTGTTTTGTGAGAAAACACCAGGTGGCGCAGAGTAGAATGAGAAGGAAGCGCCTCCACACAGAAATCACAAGGCGTTCACAACAACCATAAACAGTTATTAAAAAAACATTAAAAAATTGGGAGAAATAAATTAGCTTTAAGTCATTACGATGGTGGCACAGGAGATAAGTGCTCGCCCCGTAATCGGAAGGTTGCAGGTTCGAGCCCCGCTCAGTCTGTCGCTGTCGTTGTGTCCTTGGGCAAGACACTTAACCCACCTTGCCTGCTGGTGGTGGTCGGAGGGACCGGTGACGCCAGTGCTCGGCAGCCTCGCCTCTGTCAGTGCGCCCCAGGGCAGCTGTGGCTACATCGTAGCTCATCACCACCCAGTGCTGGACTGACCATAGGGCATAGCGGGCAACTGCCCGCTGGGCCGACCCTTTCATCTTTTATGGGCCGGTGTCTGTTTTTTTTTTTTTTTTTTTTTTTCCTGGCCTCTAGTTGTTGCAGACAACTTGCCCGCGCCGCCCCACGCGACGCCTCGTAAAAGTTGGTGGATTGGCCAATTGGTAATAATACACTCTGGGCTGGACCAATAGCCAGAGGTCTGATGCACCCGCCAGTTGTTTGTGAATCTCAGTAAACAGACAGACGAGCTTTACAAAATGGAGAACAAAAAACGGAAAGCAGGAGCGGAGAAAATTCGACTAAAAAAGAAACTGGCCCTTCAGGCTGATGCTGGCACATGTGTTAAAATCTCACAGTTGTTTGGTAGTGAAGGTTCAAGTAAGATCAATGTAGGAAGTGATGGAGCCTCAGCCCAGCGACAGGTTGGAGAAGAAAAGAGGGAGGAGGAGGAGAAACCCGAGCCGGTGTTGTGCCATAAATTGACTCGCTGCCAAAAAATGATTAGCCACCGCGGGATCGCGCACGGTTAGGTAATTGCATTTCTAGACAAAATTCCCCAGGATTTCGCCCTAAAACTCGGCATATCTAGCAATATGGACATTCAGAAAGCAAAGATAACCTCTTCCGGTACTTAAACAGATGTTTATCGCGGATATTAGTGTGGCAGTGTTTGTGGCACCCTGCGCAGGAGCACGAGGACGTGCTT